CGTGATTCCGCGCTCCTTGCTCTGCGGGTTCTTATCAAAGGCGTTGGTCGACGCGGTCGAGGAGAGAGCGCGGGAGAGGCTGGTCTTTCCCGAGTCAACGTGGCCCAGTATGCCGACGTTGATATTGAGCGTGGCACCCACGCTCGCGGCCGCCATCTCTGCGGTCGGCGGAGAGCTCGCCATGCCGCTCCACTGTGCTGCACTGTGCTGGGGTGTGCCAGCACAACAGGGGGGCCGCGCGAGAAAAGAATTTCGTCCGCTTTCTTAAAATCGTTCATCCCTCCCTTGGGTTGTCTGTTTTCTTTCTTTCTTTTTTGTTTTCTTTCTTTCTTTCAAAGAATTTTCGCCCTCATTGCGCCAAGAGTGCAACAGAAGCTGACTCGCTCCTCGAATTCTTCTACCCCCACGACTCGGAACGCGAATGTGTGTGACAGGACCATCGGGTCCTTCAGCCACCAAAGCGAGATCACCCGAGAGCAGCTGAGCCTGCCTCTGGCCTCGCCTCCCTCTCCTTCAGGCATTCGTGGCATCCTATGGGTCGTCCAGAGTATCGACCTCTGGCAAGTCAGCCAGCCCCACTTTGAGGGCGCCATGAAGTACAGCGATCGGCCGATCGCCACCTCGCTGGCCTCTCCGCAGGCCCCCCCGACCGCGTCGAACTCATCGGCGCGGGCTCTCTCGGCTACGGGACCGGCCCCAGCTTCGGCTGAGGGCTGACAAGCTGCCGAGCCCAAATCACTGTGAGAGTCGTGATTTCTAGTTGGTTCTCTAAAATCTCTCTTCTCTCAGAAGCTCCCTCGCACAACGCGAGAAAAGAAATTTACAACCAACTCGCACGACACGTGGCACGGAACTGGCGCGCACTGGCACTAACACAGGTACGCCACAGAGAAAAGAACTCGCTGCATCGACCATCGTGAACGCAGCCCCGATGAGTCACACCGCACACATGTCCTCGTCAAGAGAGCGGAGCTCGATTTGGCCGGCTCTCTCTCCCAGGCGGCCCCCTCCCAGCATATCTGAGAGACCACTAGGTTGGCCAGGACCGCCGGCGCGCCCACCCGGAGAGGAAGGTCGACACTTGTTCTTTGCTTTCAGAAAGTACAGAGGCATACTATCCCGCAGGAACGTGGTACGTGCTGCTGCGTGCGAGGCTAGAGGGACTCCAACAAACTCCTCCTGGCGCTGGAAAGCCTCCCGTCCTCCCGTTGCGGCGTGATAGCGTCGGGCATCGGCTTGGCTGCCGTGGGAGGGGCGGAGCTTGGGCGCCGCCTGGGCGTGATTGCCGCGAGTGGCGAGAGCGCCTACAGGAACGCGGCATGGCTGACGGCGCGCCGCGTGCTGCATTTGCGTTGTGGCTCGGCGAGGGCAGACCGCAAGGGCCAAGCCTGGGCTTCCGAGGCCCCGCAGCCTGCTGGCCACCGGCGACGGCGGCGGTAGCTCCAAGGGCGCAAGAGGCTGTGACATGCGGCGTGTGGGCTCGGGTGGCGCCTGCCGACCGGGAGCGGGACCGCGCACGGTGGGTGAGGACGTGCTCCCGCGGGAATCCGATTGCGCTGGGCCTCGCGCACCACGAGAAGCCGGTCGCCGAGCGGCTCGCTACTGCTCTCTGCGGGCTCGTCGGCGAGCGTCAGCATGACGAGGCCGACGATCGAGCACGCCACCCCGCCGCCAAAAAAGTAGAGCTGCTGCGGCGAGGCGTGCTCAAACTCGCCTACGCAAACACTGGCTGTGAGTCTCGTTCGGTTGTCGCGGCTCGGCCGACTCGCGCAGCGGGCTTCGCCGTAGACGACGCCCGCGGCGAGCAGATTCATGACGATGAGGGTCGACTGGTAGGCCGGAACGGCGAGGCTTACCTTGGCGCCAGCGAGGGTCTCGTTCAAGAGGTACAGCTGCAGCGGAGAGGAGAGGCCAATGGCCACGAAAGAGCCCCAAGTGAGTGGGTCAGACCAGGCGCGTGTCGAGCCGGCCATCACTGAGGTGACGACGGTGCCGCTGATTTGCTTGAGGGCGACCTGCGTCACCAGCCCGCAGCACGCAGACGTGGTGGATGACGCAATCGTCATCAGCCAAGACGAGTGCGGAGGTGCGAGACGCGTCCGACGCAAAATCAACCACACAGCTACCAGGCCAAATGCGGCGGCGACGAGGGCGACGGAATCCGCCGTGAGCCGCAGCACAGAGGGCGACCCGTCGCCTCGCGGGCCAAAGACCGAGACACCCGTGATGCCACCAATGACCAATACCGTCGCTGCGGCTCCAGACGGAGTGAGCTGCTCGCGCTTGGTGAGCAGGCCGGTCCAGGCCAGCAAAGACGAGAAGACGATTGTCAAACCAGCAAAGGGCGCAATCATCGAAAGCGGCGTCATGCCGTAGGCGATGATGTCGAACGCGGTGGCGTTGACCACCAGCAGGACAAAGCCAACCGCCCACCGCCAGCGCTGGCACAAAGGGAGAGAGGCTTCGCCGACCTCAGACGAGAGCTTCATGTACAGCATGCCCACGGCTGAGGAGAGGCAGCCGACGACGATCATCAGCTCACCCAGCAGCACGAGGTCCATTGGAGGGCAACGCGCGCGCCGGCTGCGAATTTCGATAAAAGTTTCGGGGGGGGGGGGGGGGGGGTAATATAAAAATAATGATTTCTTTTCTAGTCTTCTAGTCTAACCCTATAAGTCCCACCGCCACCAGTTTCCGACCGTCCCACCGATTCGGTCGTTTGCACCACCAGCTCCGCCCAATGGCCAAGCGACGGCTGAACCCGGACGAGATTCGAGCAGCCGTGGAGGCGGGACCGCCCCCCCACTCAGTCAACTACGAGACCGACAAAAAATGGCATGCCGAGCAGAATCGCTGGCTCGCCAAATGGACCGAACGCCGGCTCCCCCCCGACAGCGGCGACAGCGGGAGCAGCCGGCGGGACCAGTGGCGCGATCGAAAGCAGCAGCATGCACAGCTGCTGCGGGCGGCGGAGAAGGAGCCATCTGCCTCCTGAAGCGCCAGCGCAAGGCCGCAGCGACACCTGCCGTGACACATAGCGGCCGTGTGCACTCTGGCCCGCCACGGCTCAAGAGGCCAAAGCCGCCGCCGGAAGGTGGCGACCAGCAGGCGTACGAGCTCGCCATGGGCATGTATGGTATTGCTCGCGACACCCGGAGCAAGATGTCGAGGCGGACCAAGAGCGAAGACGCCGAGCGCAAGAGGGATGCGCGAGCGATCACGGCGATGATGGCAAGTGCGAGCATTGGTTCGGCGACTACACAGAGCGCCGCTGCTGGAGCTGCCGGCGCCACCTCCAGCCAGATGGTTCCTGAAGCAGGCATGCTGGGGTGGCTTTGCCTCCCATCCCTCCCCGACCCACCCACCATCACCACACGGCTTCCCCGTGGTAGGGCCGCAGGCAGTCAAGGCCGCCAAGGAGCGAATGGAGAGGGAGCGCGAGCGGTCGCAGCGGCGGCATGGGAGGCAGCAGATCGGAGAATTCTCGGAGCTGCAGCAGATTGCAGACCCTGAGCCTGGACTCGCCGAGCTTGATGCTTTGATGAACAGGAGATGGCGTTTCAGGCATGGCGCGAGCAGCGCGGTCCTGCTTTGTACGACAGCATTCACATCCCCACAGAGGTTGGCTTGGTGGCTGCCTGGCGCGCAGAGCAGCGGCTGTCGTCCCCTGCGCCATCACTTCCGCAGCAGCAAGCTGACACTGCCTCCCAGCACCAAGCCGCACAAGTCGTTCTCGAAAGCTTGGACATCCTGGTGCGCGGCGACTTTCTGTCGTGGCTCCAAGATTACCGCAATGTGGGTGACCCACTCGACGAGCCTCACTTGGAAGATCTGCTTTGCATTTGGCGCAACTCCGATGAGTATGAAGACACAAAGAACACCCGCATCGCCGAGACATGCCATTGCCCGCGCGACCGCGAAAAAATGCGCTCACTGCCTTATGCAGAGCTCAAGCGACGTGTCGAGGATGGCATGCTGGGTCAGCCAGGTGAGAGCCAAGCTGTCTACGATGCCCGAGTGCGCACCGATCGACTGGCACGCGGTGTAGAGCTCGGCGAGTACTTCACCAACCCCTCCGCCTTTAGCGGCACGCACCTTCCCTACTGCACGTGCACATACGACGGTGAAGTGGCCACGCCCGCAATTCCGGGACTGACGTGTGACGCAGATGGCAGCATCTCAGCTGCAGACCTACTGGGCGATCTGATAAACTATGGATCTCGCGCGGGAGAGTGGCAGCCAAGCGGTGGCGACCACGTGCCTGAGGACTGGGTTGGAGATGGCACGTTGGATAGCAATCGCGATGGAGATTATCTTGGCATGCCATACCTCACCAGCTTCTGCACGGCGTGCAAACGAATCCGTTCTGATGAGCCTTTCCTTTCGCATGTGGCCAGAGACCCTGACCTGCGAGTTTGCATGTGCATGAAAGTCTCAACCACAGTGAGCGTGAGGCTGTGCGTGGCTGTCGGAGACTCCGTGCGGCTGCGCGATGCGCTTTGCCAGCACTGTCGAAAGTCGGATCCGGTGGAGGATCAGTGAGTTACCCGCTTACGTGAAGAAACACAACGGCCCCCCCCCAGAGAAAAGGCAACACGCCGCAGGTCCACACTAGTCTGCTGGATACACACATGGGCCTGGCGAGTAGAGACCACGCCTGCTATTCACAGCACAAGCCCTCGCCAGCGTGAGCATGCGCAGCGAAAAGCCCGGATCCCCCCTGATAAAGTGAGGCGTGCGCTCTACTCGCCAGCACATGGGCTGTGCGGCGTCCTCGAACGCTGCGACGACCGAGGATGCTGTGCCAAAGGCCGTCCCGGCCGTGCTACCGTCGTCAGCCGCCTCGCCTGCCTACTCACCGCCGAAACCCCTACCGCCAGCTCCACCGGCTTCGCTGCACAGGGAACTTACGACGCGCTCGCTCGCCGTCTGCACGACACTCGATACGCTCGAAAAGGAGCTCGATGAGATGCAGGCGACGCTGAATCGCGCTGACGAGGCGCTCGCTACCGAGGCGCCACCTATTGCGCTCCGCTCGACGCTCGCCTCTCTGCACGGCTCTGCCACGGCTCTGCTCGCAACCCGTTTGGACGCGCTGCACACGGCCGATCTAACGAGTGGCCGTGACGAGGCGCGCGCCAAGCGCAAGGCCCTCGTCGCGGCGGCCGAGAGGGTGATCGAGAGGGCCGAGGCTCAGATTCGTGAGGTCGATCTCAAGAAGGCGAGACAGGCGGCGGAGGCGGCAGTGGCAAGCTCGGCGGAGGCGACCACGCAGGAGGCGGTGGAGATGACCGCAGGGGCAGTAGCGGAGGCTGCGCCAGAGGCGGCCGAGCAGCCGCCCGTGGAATCGGAAGCGGCAGGGACCACGACCGAAGCGGTACGAGCTGCAGCTGGCGAGATCGAGCGAGAGCTGACGTGACTTCCGAGTGAAAGTCTTGAATAAAGTCTTGAATATACACGCGATGTACGCGGGGAATAAGACGCGGCACACACGACAAACAACGCGGGCCCCCCGGGTGAAATTCTGAAAAACGTGCAGCACTTCTAGCCGACATCGACAAAAGTCACTCTCTAGCCCCGCGGCGAGCGGCCCCGGCCCCGCCGGAGGCGAAGAAAATTTTGCCATCTAGCGCTCTCTAACACAAACTTTTGCACACAAATCGACACACCTCCAAACAAGCTCAATAAGACTGGTCTTCACTGCAGCACGCCTCGAGCGAGTAATGCGTCTGTAGGCCAATATAATAGAGCTTCTCGCGCGCGCTCCTCAGCTGGCGGTCCGCAGGGCCGCCCGGGCCGGGCGAGAAGCGCAAGCCCGCCAGCCGCACCATGTGATTCACGATGATGAGCGTCTCGGCCTCGAGCAGCGTGTAGGAGCGAAGCTTGCCCTCGCACTCGCGTTGCTCGAGCCTGAGCCACTGCGCCTTGACCACGAGATAGCCCGCGGGGATGGTGTCGGTGTTGACGACCGTGTCCTCGGTTAGCGTGTACGCCTTCCCCTTGAGCACCGCCAGCCAGTAGAGCCCCTCGAGCGACTGCTCGCGCCGATCTTCGCGGACAGCGGCCAGCTGCTTCGCCTTGAGCCACGCGGCCCACACCTCCAGCGACTCCGCCAGTCGCTTTGTCGCGAAGCTCTTCGGTAGCCTCGAGCCGGTCGGGAGCGCGGCGCTCAGCGTCGCTCCGAGTATTGGGGCGGTCCTCGTACATGATGTACTTCTCGGAGATCTCTCCTGCCTGGCGTGCCTCCTCTTGGCGGATGCTCGCTTCGAGCGTCGCAGCGTCCGATGCAGCAGCAGCAGAAGACTCACCCAACGGCTGATTGAACGGGGTGAGTTCGTCGTGTTCGTCAAACTGGAAAGACTTGCGCATGGTTGCCTTCTTGCCGTACCAGACCATCGTACGCGTCTTCTTACTGTCCCAAGAGAGTGATACGGGTACGTTGCCGTCGATTGGCGGCACGGAGGGGTAGGTCGGCCGACCTACCATGGTGCTAAACAAGGAAGGAGCGTGGACAAGTCGGTTACGCGGAGGGTTACACCGAGGTCTCTGCGCGGGATGTGCTGGGGGGCTGCCCCCCAGTCGATTGCCGCATAGTTCGTCGATGTAACCCTATCATAAACCTCTTATTCACACCTTGCACTTTTGAAAAAAGAAATGTCCGACTTTTGTCGAAGATCCGGAGGGTTTATCGGAGCATCACCCCCCCGCGGCTCGACCCGCGGCATCGATAGCCGGTGTGTGTTGTTGGAAACTCGCTCTTCGCTGCGCCGGGGCGACGGCAGCCTGCCACCGATCACCTCGCGCCGTTCGGCTTAGAAGGCAGCCCTGACTTTGCCGGCCAAATCGGCCACGCCTCGAGCGGCGGCGCCGTACCTGCGTACTGCTCCGGCAGCTGGTCTGGCGCGGCGAGGCCGTGCAGCCGCTCGGTCGCGCGTTTTGGGTCGGAACTGGAGATGATGTCGACCTTGGCCTTGGTCTTCTCGTCGAGCCACGTCTTGACGATTCGCCACACGAGGGCGAGCGAGGCCGGCGCGTTCACGACGACCAATCCGCCGAGCCGCTCCGGGTAGTGGTCGGCGTCTGTGTCGGCCATCGACTTGAGCACTCGCAGAGCCGTCCGATCGATCAAGCCTGGCTGCCAGCCCTTGGCGTCGATGACCACAACCCACTGCTCCGCGCCAAGGGCTGCGAGCCGCTTGCAGTACTGCTCGTTTACCCACCAATTGTACTCGCAGAGCCGGTCGACGCTCTCGCGGTCTGGGCACAGGCGCGAAAAGGAGCACTGGCCACCGAAGTGCTTGAAGATGATGGGACGGCCCAGCTTGTCGACTCCCGGGCTGCATACGTGGGGTAGCACCTGCTGCAGCGCCGCGATCGGCTTTCCAAGGATGTCCTCCGCCGGCTCATCATCGCGGCGCTCCTCCACGCGCCGCGCCTGCCGCCACTCGAGATCGGCCTGCAGCATGTCAGCCGCCTTGACCGCGTTCAGCTTGCGCGCTTTCGCGAACCGGAGGACGTCGTCCGTCGGCAGGTCGATCGGTGATCCGCGTCGTGCCATTTCGGCACGAAGCTCGGCGACCGCTGTCTCGGCGTTGGGCTGCGCTCGTGATTTTGTGCTCTTTTCGGAGAGCCAGCCCATGTACAGCGGCGGCGAGACGATAGCGGGCAGCGGCGGCTCGCAACAGCGGCTCTGCGGAGCGCTTTCTCACCTGCGGCGGGCCGATCCAAGAAAAGAAATCCAGGACGCCTCTCACAGCAGACTGGCACGGACTAGCACCACAAAAGGCAGAGAAAAGAATTCTCGTGAGCCGCCCCTCCCCAATATCCCTGCATTGTGGCGGTCTTTCCCGTTCCTCCCCTCCACCCCTCCAGCCTCCCCCTCTCTTTTTACACAACTCTCACAACTAAACAGATGGCGACACAACCCTTCCCCTTCTTGCGCGTTTTCTATATCGTTCTACCGCGTCGCGATCCCGGACGCGGTGGGGTTAAGGAAGTAGAAGCCCGTCAGCTCGGTGTACTTGGCGTCGACCGAGGCGAAGCCGGCCTCCTCGACGAGGCGCCCGGTCCTCCTGTCCAGGTGGCACCCGTCGGCGAACTCGACCTGCATCGGCGTGGCTGCGCGCTGCTGCGCGGCGAGGGCGGCGTCCGTCTCGGACAGCACGTGCTCGAGGAAGAGGAGCTTGCCGCCCGGCCGGAGCACGCGCCTCACCTCGGCGAGGACCCGCTCGGGGCTGGCGACCGAGCAGAGCGTGAGTGTGCAGATCACGGCGTCGGCGGAGCGATCCGCCAGGGGCAGCACCTCGCCCACGCCGTGCGTCACGCGCAGCGAGTGGCCCTGCTCAAGCAGGCCGGCCTTGGCGGCGGACCGCCTCGCGTACGCCTCCATCGAGTCGTTCGGGTCCAAGCCAATCAGGTCCATGCGCTGCGGAGCGGCACCTTGGCTGGGCATTGCGGCGAGGTACTCCGCGTTGGGGAAAGAGCCCATGCCCAGCTCCACCACCACGGCGTCGCTCTTCGGTAGCGAGGTGAGGAGCCGGTCAAACAGCTCGCGCTTACGCCCCGAGACGGCGCGCTCATAGTCCTTCATGCCGGTGGCCATCCCACACGCGAAGCCGGCATCTCTGCGCGCATCTCGCGGGACGTCGTACGTTCGCAGGTCGTCCTCTGGCGGCCGGGTCAGGCTAGCCAGTGCCGAGGCGGGCTCGGGGCTGCAGCAGCTGCAGCCGCACGCGACAGAGCCGGCAAAGACAGCGGTGCGGCGCGTCACAGGCGCTGTCCCACGAGGGTTGGGGAATGCAGCGAAAGTGGTGGAGAGCAGAGCCATGAATGCAACCAGTACTGTCCGCCCGGGCCGCATCGCAGCGTTCTGTCGTGAGTTTCCCGTTCGAGACTTCTGTTGACCTGATTTTTTTCCTGTTGGTCGTGAAGCGCGGAAGCGCCTCTTCCTCGCCAACTTCCTGTGCTATGCCACTCCACTCTCCTCTCGCGCCGCTGGATTTCAGCGCGCTATGCTGTGTGTGTAGAAGCGGCGCGCAGCCCATGGCGCAGCAGCCTCGCCTCGGCGAGCCATTTTCGCACGCTCGAGGCGCCGCGGCAGCGGCGAGGGATTGGACGCTCCCCTGCCGAGACCCCGTCACTGTCCCCAGCTCCCGCCGCCCGCCGCTACCGCCCGCCGCCCCAGACGTCGTCGGGGTCGGTGGACTTTGCCGACCCGCCTCCATAGCCGCCGCCCCTGCCGCCGCCTGCTCCGCCTCCGCCGTAGCCGCCTCCGCCGTCGCCGTACCCGCCGTCGCCGTAGCCGCCGCCGCCCGTGCCGCCGTAGTCTGAGTCGCGGTATGCGCTGGGCGGCGCCGGCGGCGGCGCGGGCGGCTTGCTCCCCAAGCCAAAGATCTTTCCGACGCCGAGCAGCCGGCTCATCGACGACACCTCGCCGAGCGCCTCCTTGGCGCGGTTGACGGCGTCGCCGACCTGGCGCGAGGCTCCGGCGGTGAGGGGGAGGCGTCGCGGTTGGGCGGCGGGCGGGGAGGGGGAGGGCCGCCACCTCCCCCTGCGCGCGCTCGTCCGCGACTCCAAAGTGGTGCAGCGCCTGCTCGCCGGCCGGGGGAAGGGTGTGAGGTGTGCGGCTGGAGGGCGGGGCACACGCGGCGACGGCGGCTGCCTTGGAGTTGTACACGTAGGCGGAGATGAGGGCGTTGAAGAGGAGCAGCGTCTGGAAGATGGGGCGGGGGGGGGCTTGGGTGAGAGGGCGGCACCGCGGTGAGGGTGTGGGACGCGGTAGCAGCGTCTCGCCTTGGTGAGGATGCCGACGTACTTGCAAGACCAGGCGACGACTGCGACGTGAGCCTGCGGCGGAGGGGCCCGGGTGGGCGGGTGAGGGGGCCGCACGGGCGCGAGGAGGGCAGGCGCACTGGAAGGGAGGGGGAGGGTGGGGAGAGAGCGAGGGGAGAGAGCGAGGAGAGACG